ACCGCTTAAAGGAATCTTTCTTACCGGTGTTCCCTCTAAGCTGGGTTAGTGTGAGCTAGCTCACGGTTTTTTAGCCTCTGGCTCACACATTTTTGTCTTCGCTCAGGAAGGATGGCTCCAGAGCAAACTAATTGATGCAGCAGCCAAATCGCTCACAAATCACTTCAGTTGTTTTAATAAAGAGTTAGTATATAAATATATCAAATAAATAACTAGGTAAAGGGAGCTAGAACAGGCATGCAGCAAACAGAAAGAGAAGCCGTTGGGGTTGTTGTTGTTCAGTTGCACAGTCGAGTCCGACTCTTCGCACCCCCATGGACCAGATCACGCCAGGCCTTCCGGTCTTCCGCCGTCCTCTGAAGTTGGCTCAATTTCATGTTCGTTGCATCGATGACACTGTCTAACCATCTCATCCTTTGCCGTCCCCGTCTTCTTTGACCTTCAATCTTTCTCCAGTGAGTGCTCCCTTCTCATTTGGTGGCCGAAGTATCTGAGCTTCAGTTTCATTATCTGGCCTTCCAGGGAACAGTCAGGGTTGCTTTCTTTTAGGTTTGACTGATTTGATCTTCTTGCAGTCCAAGGGACTCCCAAGCGTTGGGGGAATCACAGCAAATAAGCCAAGGCTAAGGCTGCCAACTCCAGGACAGGAAGTGCATGGAGATTTGGGGGTGGAGCCTGGGGAGGGCGGGATTTGGGGAGCCCCTTTCCCAAGGAAACTGATTTCTGTCGTCTGGAGATCAGTTGTAATTCCAGGAAATCTCCAGGCCGCAAGTTGACATTACACCAAAATAGATATCACCGTGTACAATAAAGATATGTTTATAGTAAAACAATATTATGCTTTATTCTTTTTCTTTTTATATTTTTGCAATATTGTTGTCTAAATATTAGTATCAAATATTATCAAATATATATTTATATTTATTTATTTATGTTTGGATTTATATCCCGCCCTACCCCCCAAGCTCATGGCGGCTGACAAGGGCACTATGTGCCAAGGTTATAACAATAAAACACATAATATAAAACAATAATTTACAATAAAATATAGTCACAATACAAATTTAACCAAGATGGGTAGATCTTAACCTCCCTAGTAACTTCCTGAGATCTTGTCATCCAATTCCTGCCCGGACACCTCGCTCCCCCCAGTGGGGTCCAGATAGTCATGATGGTAATACAACAGTGGATAGAAGGCGAAGGTGGAATAGTAGTGGCGGCGGCTCCTACTCAAAGGCCTGGCGGAAGAGCTCCGTCTTACAGGCCCTGCGGAACTGAGAAAGGTCCCGCAGGGCCCGGATCTCTTCCGGGAGCCCAAACAATGCATAGAGAAAAATATGTTTCACCCAGACAATACATCGAGTGCAGGTTTACATTCAGACAGGGCCTTGTCAGTAACCCTGTCACTAGCCCCAGGGGACTCTAGTAGTTTACCCATTTCGAATGCATCTTTTTCAAGGACCGTGACATTTATATAAAGGACATAAGGCGCAATAATTTTTCTTTGTGAGCACAAAAGCTCTCAAGATAGCAGCACTGTCTAGGGTCCCATCAGAACCCTTGCGGCAAATGTAATAACCTATCAGGTAGCCGCGGCTAGAGTCCTCTGGGCTAGTGACAAGGCGCTGTCTGAATGTAAACCTGCACTCGATGTATTGTCTGGGTGAAACATATTTTTCTCTATGTATTGTTTGGGTGAAATATATTTTTGATAATATTTGATACCAATATTTAGACAACAGTGTTGAAAAAATATAAAAAGAAAAAGAATAAAGCATAAAATTGTTGAAGGAAATTAATCCTGAAGGAAATTAAATAATTTTTTTTAAAGTACTTTGCAAATTAAAGTGGTTAAGACGCTGAACTGTAGGCTGTGGAAGGTCAGTAGTTCAGCAGTTCGAGACCCGAGTGTGCCACATGACGGCGTGAGGTCCCATCTCTAGTTCCAGCTCCTGCCAACCTAGCAGTTCGAAAGCAAGAAATTGCAAGTAGATAAATAGGTACCACTTCGGTGGGAAGGTAACAGCGTTCCGTGCGCCTTGGTGTTTAGTCATGCCGGCCACATGACCACGGAAATGTCTTCGGGCAGCGCTGGCTCTTCGGCTTTGAAATGGAGATGAGCACCACAACCCTAGAGTCGGATTTGACTGGCTTTCGAGCAAGGGAACCTTTACCTTTACTTTACCTAAACAGTCATAGATTGTCATACCTGACCTGGATGGCGCAGGCTAGCCTGATCTCATCAGATCTCGGAAGCTAAGTAGGGTCAGCCCTGCTTAGTACTTGGATGGGAGACCACCAAGGAAGTCCAGGGTTGCTACGCAGAGGCAGGCAATGGCAAACTACCTCTGAACGTCTCTTGCCTTTAAAACCCTATGGGGTTGCCATAAGTCAGTGGCCACTAAAGCAAAAAAATAAAAAATCATAAGGGGTTTCATCACCGAGTGAGTCCAGTGGGCACCTTGAAGACCAGCAAAGTTTTATTCCAGGTGTAAGCTTTTGTGTGCATGCACACTTCTTCTTGTATCTGAACAAGTGTGCACGCACACGAAAGTTTGTTGTTGTTGTTCAGTCGCACAGTCGAGTCTGACTCTTTGCGACCCCATGGACCAGATCCCGCCAGGCCCTCCTGTCTTCCACCGTCCTCTGAAGTTTGCTCAATTTCATGTTCGTTGCATCTGTGACACTGTCTAACCATCTCATCCTTTGCCGTCCCCGTCTTCTTTGACCTTCAGTCTTTCCCAGCATCAGGGTCTTCTCCAGTGAGTGCTCCCTTCTCATTTGGTGGCCAAAGTATTTGAGCTTCAGTTTCATTATCTGGCCTTCCAGGGAACAGTCGGGGTTGATTTCTTTTAGGATTGACTGATTTGATCTCCTTGCAGTCCAAGGGACTCTCAAGAGTCTTCTCCAGCACCATAGAATCTATTCTTCGGCGCTCAGCCTTCCTTATAGTCCAACTCTCGCAGCCATACATGACTACTGGGAATACCATTGCTTTGACCATGCGGACTTTTGTTGGCAGGGTGATGTCTCTACTTTTTATCATGCTGTTTAGGTTCGCCATCGCTTTCCTCCCAAGGAGCAGGCGTCTTTTAATTTCATGGCTGCTGTCACAGTCTGCGGTGATCTGGGATCCCGGGAACGTGAAGTCTGTCACTACTTCCACGACTTCCCCTTCTATTTGCCAAGGAGTGATGGGGCCGGATGCCATGATCTTAGTTTTTTTGATGTTGAGCTTCAAGCCCACTTTTGCGCTCTCCTCTTTTACTCTGAGCAAGAGGCTCTTTAGATCCTTTTCACTTTCAGCCATTAGAGTGGTATCATCTGCATATCTGAGGTTGTTGATCTTTTCCCCAGCAATCTTAATTCCCGCTTGTGATTCATCCAGGCCAGCATTTCGCATGATGTACTCTGCATATATATTAAATAAGCAAGGTGACAATATACATCCTTGTCGTACTCCTTTTCCTATGCTAAACCAATCAGTTGTTCCATATCCGGTTCTAACTGTCACTTCTTGACCCTTATACAGGTTTCTCAAGAGACATGTGAGTTTATACCCAGAATAAAACTTTATTGGTCTTAAAGGTGTCCACTGGACTCAAACTATTATGCTGCTTCAGACCAACACGGCTATCATCTGTCTTCACCATCAAGTGTTTGAGTCACATGCAACTCTTCTGCAGACCAGCAAAATGAAATGGGACGTTAGCCCGACAGGATAGAAGTTGCTTCCAGGGAGACAGAAGAAGGGGGTCTCTTGTTGGGTCTAGTCTATCAGAGCTTTTTAGTTCAAAATTATCTCTTTCTTTTTTAAAAAAAAAGTTATAATTTTTATTTAAGAATTGAATAACAATACAGGGTAAGTACAACAAAAATCTGCAGATGAAGTACAAAAATAGGTTAGCAAAAACATTAATGCTTAACTATGTCCAGGCTGAAGACGCCAAAGAACTATATTACACACTACAAAACATCTCTTAAGGCAACAATCGTATAATAAATACATATCTTTATAGGCAAATTTTAAATCATTGTTCTGAAAGTAACCAGATATTATCTTAGATCTAAGCCAAATAATGTTTCAGGTTCAAGTTTCAAAAGTATATAATTGATTTGTATAAAGGATTTGCTGGAATTACATCAGATTCAACCATATAGTTGATGAGTGAATACCAGGATGCTATACATTTGTCTTCAAATTTGCTGGAGGATAGACTGAGTGTGCCAAGTGATCAGGGGTCATTTCGTAGAAAAAGAGGTGCAGGAGCTCATTAGCATAACTCATTAGCATGACTTATTTGCATATGTCACACCCCCTGACATCACCGGAAGTGTGTCAGAAGGCAACAGTGGACTGTTTTAGATTGCTAGCTATTGGAGGGGGGGGGACGAGCAGATCTGTCCTCGCAGAGGAGGGAGAGCTTGTACCTGAACAAAACTTGGTCTTAATGGTGCCCCTGGACTGTTTTGGGCTGGGGGGCCGGGGGGAGCTCTGCAACTTACCTGGCTGCTTCTTGCTCTGACTGAGGGCTGCTGGGAGCAGGGGGTGGGACTTGTTGCATGTGCCCGCCCCCTGGGTTCTTTACTGCCGGAGCTCCGCTCCTGTGCGCTCCTGCAAGGAATGACCCCTGCAAGTGATATTTTTTACATAATGAAGTGGTCCCAAATACAATTTTGCCAGGATTTGGATCATGGGAGGAAGTCTGTCTAGCCATGCGGCGGCTATGGCATTTCTGGCTATGGCTAACAAAGTGTGGATCCGGACAGTCTTACTCTTGTAGCCCTGTGGATCTGACCAATTGTTCAGGAGTAGTGTTTCTGGTAAAAGAAAAGGCATATGTATATTTGTAAACAAGGAGATATGTTGTGATATTTGAGGCCAGAATGAATTATCTCTTTCGACAGGCCCTTGGTGGAAAGGCCCACGCCTCCCTGTGTGGGGCCCCTACACCTTCTGAGCGACCATTGACATTCACTCTCGTTTCGACATCCAACAGGGTGGTCAAGTTCCGTCGCACAGGGGAAAGTTCCCGGTCTGAGGAGGATGCCGTCTCGGGTGAGCACGAAGTCCAGATCGAGGGAGTCCAGACGGCGTTAGAGCGCGTGGAGCTGGAAGATGGCGGGACGGTGCCAAAGGAGTTTGCCAATCCAACGGACGGTGAGTGGAGGGTACCTGCAGCCAGGCTTGAGAAAGGAGCAAGATATTCAGTTGCTTTAAAAAAATGTATATAAAGGTGAAGATTTTGAATTTAGATCACAAGAAGTCCAGGAAGACTTTGTTCCGAGGAAGATATTAGCTCCTAACTGTAATGGTGGCTTAGAAAATGAATGGTGAGGAGAGACAGTAGAAAAGAGCAAGAGTCAGAGGTCATTTCGGGGGGGGGATCGCGGGGGATCGCAGTTCCCCCGGGTGAGGTATGGGGGGGCGGGGCACATGATGAAGCCCCTCTTTTTCTATGAAACGACCCCTGGCAAGAGTCCAGTAGCACCTTAAAGACTAACAAAATATGTGGCAGGGTATCTGTAGAAGTGATGAGTGACTCACAAAAGCTCTTCCCCTGCCACAAATTTTGTTAGTTTTTAAGGTTCTCCTGGACTCTGGCTCTAGTCTGCTACAGACAGACTAACACGGCTGCCCATCTTGTGAGGAGGGACGTCTTGCCTGCACCACAAATCCCCTGGTGGCCTTGGGAAAGCCCCTGTTCCCCGGCCTCAGTTCTCCCATCTGCAATATGGGGCTCATAATATTGTCCTATTGTCCAGGGCTGTCATAAGGATTACAGCAGCATATATGTGGACCTTTGAAAATGGTATACAAATGTTGCGTTTTTATTATCATGTGAGCTGGTTTTTGGTGTAGTGATTAAGTGCGCAGACTCTGATCTGGGAGAACTGGGTTTGATTCCCCACTCCTCCACGTGCACCTGACTGGATGACCTTGGGCAAGGCGTAGTTCTGATAAGAGCTGTCCTTGAAAAAGAGCCATTTCTGTCAAGAGCTCTCTCAGCCCCACCTACCTCACAGGGTGTCTGTTGTGGGGAGGGGAAGGGAAAGGAGCTTGTAAGCCACTCTGAGACTCCGAGTGAAGGGCGGGGTATAAATCCAATCTCTTCTTCTTCCTCCTCTGGAGACACAACAACAGGGCACAGAGGCCGAGGCCTGAGAGCCAGTGTGGTGTAGTGGTTAAGTGTGCGGACTCTAATCCCCATATATACCCCCAAGAGCACTGCGATCGGGGAATCTCCATCGCCTGGAAATTCCAGGTCCCCGAGGAGTGAAGTTGGCCCAAACCAGGGCTAGGGCGTTTTCGGTGGCGGCTCCCACCTGGTAGAATGAGCTCCCGGAGGAGATCAGGGCCCTGCAGGACCTGGTGCAGTTCCGCAGGGCCTGCAAGACGGAGCTCTTCCGCCAGGCCTTTGAGGGGGAGCCGCCGCCGCCACTATTCCACCAATGAGGGTCCAACCATCTACCTCATAGGGTATGGGTAGATGTCGCCCAACAGTGCCGGGGAACACCTCTCCTGGCGCTCATGCCCATGCTATGAAGAACTTGGCTGCCAGTGTGGGACGTCGCACATCTTGGTTTCATGTAGATTATCAGAGCACCAAATTTTTATGTAAGATACATTGTTTTATTATGCTGGATTATACTGGGTTTGTTGTATGTATATTTTAACTTCGGCATGGCCGTCTGTTAGCCGCCCTGAGCTGTTGGATGGGGCGGGGTATAAATCCCAAAAATAAATAAATAAATAATCTGGGAGAGCCGGGTTTGATTCCCCACTCCTCCACTTGCACCTGCTGGATGACCTTGGGCAAGCCATAGTTCTGATAAGAGCTGTTCTTCAAAGAGAGCAGTTTCTGAAGAGCTCTCTCAGCCCTGCCCACCTCACAGGGTGTCTGTTGTGGGGAAGGAAAGGGAGAGGAGTTTGTAAGCTGCTCTGAGACACCTTTGGGTAGTGAAGGGCGGGGGATAAATCCAATCTCTTCTTCTTCTTCTTCAATGTCAGCTTTGAACCTTTGAAATTTGGGTCTTCCGGCCTTCTACTGACCAGCTTTGGTTGGGCATTCAGTGTCCTTGTTCAGGTGATGCTCCAACCAGTCTTCCCTCTCAGCTGAGTGAGTGTGGGCTCGCTCACAGTTTTTTTAGCCTCCGGCTCACACATTTCTGTCTTTGCTCAGGAAGGACAGCTCCAGAGCAAACTAATTTATGCAGCAGCCAAAACACCTGTTCACCACTTTAATACCAGTAGCTCACAAAGTAGAATTTATGCTCACAGGACTCCCTAGCTTAGAGGGAGCAGTAGCTCCAACCTGTCCACCTGTTGCGGACTTCTGGGGGGGCCTTGATTCTGCGACGACTTGATGTCAGTGAGTGTGTAGAATCAATTAGCCAAGTACACCCTCGCTTCAGGCACGGAAGATTATTCGTAGCTGCTGTAGCAGGCAGCTCAACGCCCTTAACTAGAGTGTTTGATTCTTCTCCAGATACTTTTATGGTGGAGGATGCGGTGGAAGCCATCGGATTTGGCAAGTTCCAGTGGAAGCTCTCCATCCTGACGGGCTTAGCATGGGCAAGTAGAACAGACCAACGGTCAAAGTCAGGGCTGGGCTACGGATTGCGGGGTGTGGTGGGCCCCTCCCAGCCCTCCCAGCCCACCCACCCCCATGCTTCCTTGTCTCCCCAAGTAAATAAGGGGAGACCTTAACCCAAAAGAGAACTCCTCCCCCCCCATTCGTTCTCCAGCTGACGCTCCCGGTAACCGTTTCTTCCTTCCCGCTCTCCTAGATGGCTGACGCCATGGAAATGATGATTCTGAGCATCTTAGCGCCCCAGCTTCATTGTGAGTGGCGATTACCCACCTGGCAGGTTGCATTGCTCACTTCGGTAGGAAAATAGCAGACAGCACCTGTATTCTGTAAGGTTTTTTCGACTTCTTGCTGTAGGTTGTTCACAGAGCAAAAAAACCACCATTCATTCCAGCGAGTGCACTGGTTTGGGGACAGAGGCTGGGAACCTCTCTTGGTCTCCCTCCTGCCATCTCCCTCCCTCCCTCTCTCTCCCTCCTTCTCTCTGTCTCTCTCCTTCCCTCCCTCCCTCTGTCTCTCTCCTTCCCTCCCTCCCTCTGTCTCCCTCCCTCCCTCTCTCTCCCTCCCTCCCTCTGTCTCTCTCCTTCCATCCCACCCTCTGTCTCCCTCCCTCCCTCTGTCTCCCTCCCTCTCTCTGTCTCTCTCCTTCCATCCCTCCCTCTGTCTCCCTCCCTCCCTCTGTCTCCCTCCCTCTCTCTGTCTCTCTCCTTCCATCCCTCCCTCTGTCTCCCTCCCTCCCTCTGTCTCCCTCCCTCTCTCTGTCTCTCTCCTTCCATCCCTCCCTCTGTCTCCCTCCCTCCCTCTGTCTCTCTCCTTCCA